AAAAAAAAAAAAAAAAAGAAAGAAAAGAAAAGAAAGGAACAAGAAGGGCAAGTGGGCCACTTCAGCCACAGCCAGCTCCTCAAGTAACTTAGGTGGATGTAGTGCAGATGCTGCACCCAAGTACTGCAGACACGCTCCCTGGTTGCCTTAAGGGTCACATGGCACTCTGGGGCAAAGGCAGAGTCCTCACCCTTGTCCTCATCCTGGGTCCCTGTGTCCTCAGCCACAGATAGCCCTAAGTTTTTCCAGCATACATGGAGGGGTCGATGTGTCCCGCCTCCTTACATGTCTGTTGAGAGCTTCTGCTCCAGGCATCAATGCTCAAAGTCTGTGCTTCTTTCTGCTGCCTATGTCCCCTTGCTGGGACCAGTAGGCCGATGAACAGAGGAATATGTGGGCCCCCCCTCCACAGCAGAGCACCCAGCCTGAGACCCACTTTAGAACATCACATCAGCCCTTCAACACCACAAGGTGTCCAGGAAAATCACAGGCTGGCACACAGGGGCCTGCTGAGCAGGACGCAATGCACAGTTCCACGTCCACAGACTGGCACACAGGGGCCTGGTGGCGATGTCCCTAGGGGAGCACCACTGTTCTCGGGTGGGACCAGGCCGGGGGAGGGGGGAGACACAGGGTAAGCGGAGGCAATGTGGTTGTTCTGCATGACCTCAAAGATCATCTGCTGAAGACAAAGCAGAGGGCAGAGCCAACGGGGTTAGCATTGTTTGGGGCGAAAGACCTGTGTAGGCCAACAGGCTTCTCCACAGGGTGGCCCAGGAGTTCCTGAACGCCGTTTCACTTACTATAGGTTATGCATGTTTCTGTCTGACTGTCTGTCAGGGAAGATGGGGGCAAGTCAGGACTCCCCTTCCCCAGGAGGATGGTGTGGACCAGGGATTCTCCTAGACGGGTAGGGCAGCACAAACTGGAACTTCCCTCCACTGGGAAAATGATGTGGTCCAGGACCCCCCTATACCAGGAGGGCAGGCACAGACCTGGACTCCCCTACACTGGGAAAATGGACATGGACCAGGACTCCCCTACACCAGGAGGGCAGGCACACACCGGGACTCCCCTATACCAAGAGGGCAGGCACGGCTCAGAACTCCCCTATACCAGGTGCAAGTCAGGACCAGCCAGGGAGCCCACACACAGCCCCCAAGAGCTGTCTCAGTGGTTTTCAGCAGAAATTTCATGCCCAAGAATCAGCTTGTGGACAAACCATATACCATGCCAGCATGAAGAAGGGCTTAGCCAGCTGCTTCCCATGGGTTCCACCAGGAGGGAGGCCTATGTGCGAGGCCTCCACAGGCCCATCTGCAGTGGCTGGGGCAGCAAGTGGGTTCCCACCTCCAACTCCTAGGACCCCCAGATCCTGCTTCCTGAGCTGCCTAAGGAACAGCAATGGCTGGGAGTGGCCTGGGCAGGCCCAGTTCCTGCAGGCCACTCTTCTGAGCTTCAGGACCTGATAACCCACCCCTTCTCTGCCTGTCCCACCTCTGCTCTCATCAGTTTTCTTTTGCATTCATGGTCTTCCAGCAGCTCCTTCACCAATCTGCTGGGTTCCATGAGCTTGTCAATGTCTACGGCAGTTTCTACTTTCTCAGGTAGACCCTCACTGATGCTGCTGCAGACCATCAAAGCTGCTACGTTTAAAGAGAACTCGCTCAAGAGTTATTTTCAAAGTAAGATTGAAAGTACATCAAGCATTTCCCAAAGCGAACAGCATCCCAAATACCCTCACCTCATGAACATACCTGACCAACAAGTCCAAAGGAACGGTCCAGACTCCTCTGGTCAGTGTACTTTCTGATCTTGTTGTGTAACCACCCCAGCTCAGCAAGTCTGACTGCTGTGTCTCGCAAAGATCTACTTAGATTTGCCTAAAAAGTAAATACATCAAGAGTTAAAAATTAAAAATCAATACTAGAATTGCAATTACTATTTTTCACAACCACTTATTCTTCTACTACAGTATTATAACCCTCAGGCTTCACTACTAAAAGTTAGAAGTAATTAATACGTCATCATTAAAGGGACAGTGAACAGCGGCACAGAACACCACGAAGGCGACAGCTGCACAGCACCGTGAAGGGCAGCTCAGCTCATGCCACGCCACCCTGTAGAGTGAGTGCCTGGGATCTGTAGCTGATGTCTGCCACCTCAGTAGCTCTATGAAGGACTGAGAGCCACAGTCCTACTCTATAGCACAGAAGGGCCACGGGAACAGGAGGTTCAGGAAGATCCCTGCTCCAGAGCCCTGCTTGGAAGGCAGATGCCAAGCTGGGTCTCTGTGCCCAGCATGGCAGCAGGATGTGGAAATTGGTGAGGTGGGACAGCCAACCAGGAACACACAGAAGGAACCACATATTAATCAATCATAAAGAGTCCCGTGACACAGGCACACACGGGGCAGGGACACATAAGCCAGGACTTAAAAGTACAACTTGGCTGGTACACCCAATTTTATGAAATCTCAATACCACTTTTCAAATGAATAGCTCACTTCATGGAATTTATGACTTTTTTTTTCTTTTTAAAAAGTTTTAACTAGATTTTATGTTACTGTACCTTTCCTTCTACTTTGTAACAATTTTCACTGTTGTTCATTTTAATGTTTTTGCCATCTATGCCCTGGAAGACGTACAGAATATCCCTTACCAGAGCTGCCTCAGTAATTTCCATGCTACCTGAAAAATGATTTTTACAAGAGAACAATTATTAGATAATACATTTTAAGATAAAATAGATTTTATAGCATAATTAGCTTTAGATTATATATTTGCCACTAAGACAAAATTTACAAACTCAATAAATGACCTCAAGATAAAAAAGCAAGTGAGTTTAGAAAGAAATAGGACTTTCTGAAAAGGGAATGGAAACCATGCCGTTTCTCACAGACAAGCCTCTGTGGGAACGCACTGTACAATCAGGGCAGCAGCACAAACCAACCACAAAGGATGGATTGGCTAACAGAGGGTATCTGCAGAGACAGGGTTACCACACAGCAAGTGCATGAACCTGGGTTCCTCCCTAACACCAGATAAAAGGAGTTAACAGTACAGGAAAGATATGTACTGTTTCCATAATTCCTTTCAACAAAAGCCAAGTCAGAATTTGGGTGTTAGACCAAAATAAAAAAGGGGAGGCAATGTTTTAAAATCTAAGACATCATCCATGGGAGGAGAGAGCAGCCTAGAGCTTCTAGTCTCTGGGGATCAGGGTTCCAAGACCAGCCTAGCCAGCTCAGAGGCAGGACAGGCATGTACTGCACAGCCATGGGTGGAAGGCTCCATGAATACCAACCAGATGAAGTTCCTAAATGCACTGTTCAAACCTTACAGATCATTATTGACTGTTTTTGTATGCTTACTCTATCCATTACTAAGAAAAGTTAAAATATCAACTATAATTCTGGTTTGCCTCGTTTTCTTTCCAGTTCTATCAGTTTTGCTCTGCAAACTGTGAAGCTTTTGGCAGGTGAGCACAGGTTTAGGACTGTTACTTCTTTCTAAAGAGCTGATCCCTTGGTGGCTATGAATGCCCGTCTTCCCTGGCACTGCTCTCCCCAAACTGTACCTTGGTATTAATACAGCTACATCTTTCTCAGGGTTAGTGTTTACCAGACAATTTTTTTTCCATCCATTTATTTTCAATCTATTTATGTCCAAATAGCTAAAATGTATCTCTTATAAGCAATACATAGTTGTTGGAATGATGTAATTTTTGTTACAAAACTGTCATTTAACCCCAAAGTGGTCACACATTGAATACAAATGCTGACGTTCCTGGGTTTAAAGTGACCTTCTTGCTGTGTTTTCTATTTACCCCACTGTTCTTTCCTCCTTTGTACATCCTCCCCAGCTTCTTTGAACTAATCTCGTGTTTTTATGGTTTTTTTGTTTTTTTTGCAGTTTTTGGCCAGGGCTGGGTTTGAACCGGCAACCTCCAGCATATGGGGCCAGCGCTCTACTCCTTTGAGCCATAGGCACCACCCTAATCTCGTGTATTTTTAAGTCAATTTTGTCTTAGCACTGCATAGAATACAGGTCTGGAGGCACTGGGTAGGGATCAGGACACTGTTCTGACTCCATTTGGAAGATGCATGCTGAGCCAGTGACACGCTGTGGGCAGAAGAGGCTTGTGAGAGGGACATGGGGCAGAGGTGCACAGACACTGGAGCCTGCTGCAGAGGGCAGAGGACTCAGGCGTCCTCACAGCTCTAATAGGAGCTCCCCGCCTCTGTGTTCTATGGAAGGACAGATAATACCAGCAGCAATTTCAGAATCAGCAAACTCTGAATCAAGACTAAAACCCAATGCTCTTATTTTCAGGGAACTGTGTTTCAAACACTGCTATCTGCAGTGTTCTCGAGGAAGAAGCTCAAGCTTCCTTTTAAGCACTAGGGCTGAGAATGAGACAGGCACCGTCCCTGCCTCTGTGCGGCACAAGGGCTTTGGTGGAAAAAGATGCCTTCACCCAGAGGCCTGGCCCATCCACATGTGTCCAGGGAGAAAGGCAGGAGGAGAGGCAGAGAAAACAGAGCAGATGGCTGGGGAGTGTGAGGCAGATGGCCCTGGGGAGACCCAACAGCAGAAAGAACAGCCAGACTCCCCAGGTCTCCCCAACTCCAGGGATTCTGGGCCTCACCTAGGCTTCACTATAAGCACAACAGGAAACCACTAAAGGCCTTCAGGTGGGGATCCTAGATCTGCACTTTGAACTAAAGGGAAGGGGGAATTCTAAATGTTCAAAGAAAAGCTATGTGAAAACATATCGTTACTCACCACCCGTGTCCCCTTCTCTCCTTGACCGTGTCATGTTACGAGAAACAGTGTTTGGGATACCTCTTGAGGTAGTGGTTTGTGAAGAAGGCTGATTTGCAGTTAAAGTCCATGCCAGACGAGACCCCAGCTGCTGTCGAAGGCAGTCTCCCACCCCAGGAGCTGGATGAGACTGTCTACAGGACACAAATAACATTTAATATCTTCACATGACCAGGTGATTCACTGAAGGTACAGCATTCCTAGAAACACTTCATACATCATTACAGGGAACTATGAAACTCAGAAATCTGAGACAGGTGATACCTTGGTTCAACCCTAAGATATACCAGTAAGTCCCCGGAAACTGTGGGCTTCCACTGGGACCTCCACTTCCCACTGTACACTACATACTTCCCACTGCACACCTCCCACCACACTCTGTGCACCTCCCACCGCACACTGCGCACCTCCCACCGCACACTGCACACCTCCCACCGCACACTGTGCACCTCCCACCGCACACTGTGCACCTCCCACCGCACACTGCACACCTCCCACCGCACACTGCACACCTCCCACCGCACACTGC